CCCCCCCCCCGTGACTCCCCCTGTTAGCAGAGAGGGCTCTTAGCTGCTCCTCCGTTTCCAGACACCTCTTACTTCCCAATGGGTCAGTTATCCTTGTCAAACGAAGGTGTTGTTTTTCCTCAGGTATGCAGCTGTGCACAGCCTGCATGTTTACAGATTTCCCCACCTGCTGCTTACCTCATCAGGCCCAGTATCCCAGGGGGTGCAAATTTTGGATGAGAAAGTGCTGTTATGTGGGGTAGCGATCTGACAGCCTCCCCAGCCTTCTCTGCGGACCTGGGGTGGTTTCATAAGTGCTCAGGTTTTGTTTTCCCTGCTGATTTTCACAGGCCTGACCTGGTAAGACTGCAGCGAAAACCCCATAGTAATTATCAGCTCCTGTCTTAAGCTGTCATGTTGCCATTCCTGTCCACCCAAACCAAAGCCCAAACAAACCCACTTCTGTCAAGTTGATTCCTACTCTTAGCAACCCTGCACAACAGAGTGGACCTGCTCCCATAGGGGTTTCTAGGTTGTGAATCTTTATGGAAGCAGACTGAGACATTTTTCTCCCACACAGGAGCTCATGAGTTCAAGCCTCTGACCTTTAGGTTAGCTGTTTTAACCATTGCTTCAACACGGCTCCTTTCCTACCCATATTGTTATTTGTTGTTAAAGTGTCGTCGAGTTGGTTCTGACTTGTAGTGACTCTATAGAAGGCTTTCAGGTTGCAGCTGGTGGGTTTGAACCACCAACCTTGTGGTTAGCAGTCTGCTACTGCTCCTACAGTGTCACACCAGGAATCCTTCCTACCCATGTTGTCATTGTTAAGTGCCGTCAAGGTGGTTCCAACTCATAGTGAGCCTGCATAGGGTTTCCAAGGAGCTACTGGTAGGTTTGAACCTTGTGATTAACAGTCCAGTGCTTATCCTACAGTGCCACACTAGAACTCCAGGAAAATCGATACACATTAGGTGATACTTAATATGGCAAGAATCATGAAGGTGGTAGTGGAAGGCCTGAAGTTTAGGGAATTGTAGAGAGTGAATAGGATCCTAAAAGAAGAACGGATGAAATGCTGTGAACCTCAGAGGGAGGGCAGAGTTCTTCTGTGAGGAAGATGCGACATATAATGGAAACGTCATATAAGGGATGGCATTTCCTCTGAACCTGTGTGAAAAACTAGAGTGCACCTGGGCTAGAATGAATCCAGGTAGTCCCCAGGTTATGAATGTGTAGCTTAGCCCAAATATTGTGAACCAATCCCATACAGCCTATGAACAATTCAAATTACATACAATGGAAACCCTACACAGGGTCACTATGAGTTGGAGCCAACTCCACAGCACTTAACAACAGTGGTTCGAAATAACAAATGGGTTCCACTTTGCCATGTGCATCAAAACATTATTATTATTACGGTATCAATACGTTAAAGATGTTTCAGTATATCTGGAAGTATTTTTTAAATTTTTTATGTGTAAAAAGGTACATTATATTCTATATAATGAACATTTGATGTTATATATATAACTTATATTATATATATAATATATATGTATACAGCAACTGTATGTAACTGTTCTGACTTCGATACATAATGGACTTAGACAGACTTAGATAACTTGTTCATAATCCAGGGACTGCCTCTGTATGTAGTTTGAAACTAAGCCTGAGTGTTTGGGGGTGGCAGGGGAGGAGAGTTCTATCAAAGCCACTTGATGCCCTGAAGGGGAACAGGAAGAATAGGGCAACCCTCCCTTTGACCTCTGTGATGTCCCAAGGCTTCTCTAAGCACGTAGCTTCAACACCAGCTGTCCTTGTATCAGAGAGCTGGAGTGGGGCACAGTTCACTGGCAGGGCCAGGACTCAGGTGAGGCAAGAGATGCACCTAGGACCCACTCACCATTTTCGGAGGCGAGTGCCTCACTTGTCTCACTCGACTCCTGGCCCTGGTCACTGATTATGTGGGACAGGATCCCCAGGGACACCGTCATTCTTAAACAAGCCAGAGTGTTCATTCCATACCACAATGCCAGTTCTCAGGTTGCTCCAAGTCCTGCAGAGAGGGGGAAAATTGTGGCGGGGGGGGGGGGGGGGGGAGGTTACTGGGGCTGTGGGGTGTTCAGAAGAGAGACACCAGACCCAAACAGGAGACAGGTGGTCAGGAAACTTTCTAGGAAAAAGTGAAACCTCACTTTTTCCAAAGGAAGGTGTACGGCACAACCTTCTAAGCCTGTCCGGACTTCGGAGCTTGGCCTGAGAAACAGAGAGCACACCCAGACACTGACTGGCAAAAGCTCATGTGTGCCTGTGTCCTGTGCCCTGTGCAGGTTTGTGCCATGGCCCAAGAAGCTCTACAGTGCCCCTCTGTCCCAGGTGGAGTCCGTCCCTGCAACCTCAGTGTCTGCAAGCTCACCGGTGGTCACAGCTGCACTGGATTCCTCTGAGATGGATTTAAGTGACTTTGTTAAGTAAGTGCAGATGCAAAGCCAGAGTGGGGCTTGGTTTGGTTAGTTTTGACAGCTTTTCTCTACACTGACTTACATTCTCAGTACTCATCCTTCAACCATTCACTGGTCACCAGTTTAATGAGTAGTTTTAATGCGTCAGGTCCTAGGTCAGGCATCTGGGGTACCCAGAGAGGACCATCATCTCTGTTCTCAGGAAGTCAGAGCCTACTGAGTCTTGAAGGGCCTGAATCCTTCCTCTCCCATCACCCACTCCATCTGCCTGAAGTCTGTGCTCAGGGTCAGGTCAAGAAGAGCTAGGATGAGACAATATGCCAAACATTCTATGCTCCTGATAAAATGCTTCAGTAGATGATGAAACAATAATGAACACCAGGACTTTCTGTAAGTCAACCACGGGCTTAAGAGGACAGGGAGGAAGAGCTGGGCCCTTGGGACAATCAACCAACTCAGCAACCTAGAAGTTTTTGACTGCTTATTGGGGCAGGTAAGGGGTAACCGAGCACTAACCATCTGGCCTTTGAAGAAAAGCATCCCTTGAAAGAGAACTTTCCCTTATTCCTTGGGGAGTACTGAAGGGGATTAGGGTGGGAAGACCGGAGACTGTTGTGATGGTGGCTGATGGAGGGATTCTCTGCCTTTCATTAAACTCCCAGGACCATCCTGGAGGTTGAAGATGATGGAGACTATGAAAGACAACACAAGAAAGCTCAGCTGGCCCCTGCTACCATGGTTACTCCAGTATTACAAAGCCCTTTTCCTGGGGTAAGTTGGCAATTCAAGAGGTCTCCACAGAAAACAAAGGAGCTCTAGTGACACTGTAGGATAGGCACTGGACTATGAACCACAGGGTCATCAGTTCAAACACGCCAGCCAAACCCTGTACAATGTCACTATCAGCTGGAATCAACTCAGTGGCACTGTTTGTTTTAGCCATCTTGGCCTCCAAGGAGCACTCTGGCTGCACTTCTTCCAAAACAGATCTATTGCTTCTTTTGGCAGTCCATGGCACTTTCAATATTCTCCTCCAACACCATAACTCAAAAGCATCAATTCTTCTACAAGGTCTTCCTTATTAACTGTCCAGCTTTCACATGCATATGAGGTTATTCAAAATACCATAGCTTGGATCAGGCAGGCACACCTTAGTCCTCAAGCTGACATCTTTGTTCTTCAGCACTTTAAAAAGGTCTTGTGCAGCAGATTTGCCTAATGCAATATGTCGTTTGATCTCTTGACTGCTGCTTCCATGAGTGTTGATAGTTGATCCAAGAAGAATGAAGTCCTTGACAACTTCAATCTTTTCTCCGTTGATAAGAATGTTGTTTATTGGTCCAGTGGTGAGGATAGAGCAACCAAAAAATAGGCAGGAGAAACAAAGAAAGATAAATTCTTATATGTTCATGATGATGGAACATTATGTAATGTTTTAACATAGTGCTTCTCTGAGTAATGGCAAAGAGAGGGACTACACAGGCATGTGCATACTTTGTAGGTAATAAAGAGTATAATAAAGTTGGCATAACTTCTAGGGATGCCATTTGGCCATGTGTATCAAAATCTAAAGGAGCTCTGGCAGCGTAGTGGCTACAAGATGGGCTGCTAATCTCAAGGTCAGCAGTTCGAAACTACAAGCTGTTCCTCATGAGAAAGATGAGACTTTCTGCTTCCGTAAAGATTTACAGCCTCCGAAACCTTATGCGGGGTCGCTCTGAGTCGGAACCAACTCCACAGCACATAACCACCATCAAAATCTGAAATGTACAATTCCCCATCTGGGAAATTATTCTCCAGATACACCTTTATGTTTGTGCAAAGACCTGTAAATATCCTGTGCACTGTAACTTTGTAAATGTAAGCAAAACTAGAAATAACTTAATTCCACCAGTAAGCGACAGGCTGAATAAACTAAATTACATCCTCGCACTGCACCACTGTGAAATCCTTTAAAAGACTGAGAAAGTGCTCTGTGTTCCCATTTGGAGCCATTTCTGTTAATAATAAAAAATACTAGGTGCAGAACATTTGTGTAGGGGGAAAAATACATACAAATCTGCAAACAACCACCCTGCACACTTAGCATTTACTCTCTGTGCTTTGCACTTTCCTAAGCGTTTTTGTTTTCACATGAACTCTTTTAATTCTCCCAACAGCCCTACAAAATAGGACCTGTTTTCCTTTCCCAACTTTACTGATGAGGGGACGCATTCAGGCTGTGAAGCTGATGACAGTCTGGCCCAGGGACTGGCTCCAAACCACAGAATTCTCTCTGAGATAGATTTACATGTACGTTTGCAGCCCAGAAATGCCTCTGAAACTTAAGTGCCAAGAAAGCAGGGTGGTGTCTTTTTCACCTGTTTGTGCTTCACTGTTACATCTCTAGAATTTAGAACTCTGTTTTTTTGTTGTTGTTACTAGGTGCCATCGAGTCAGTTCTGACTCCGAGCTAGTTCACAGTAAATTCTCAGTAAATATTATTAGTTGGGTGAAGGGGATAAATAGAACATATAAGTAACAGTGATTGTCTAAGGAGAGAAACTGGAGGACTGAGGAATAGAAGTTGTTGTTGTTGTTGTTAAGTGCCGTTGAGTCGGTTCCGACCCATAGCGACCCTGTACAGGGTTTCCGAAGGTGTAAATCTTTACGGGAGTAGAAAGCCTCATCTTTCTCCCGCGGAGTGGCTGGTAGTTTCGAACCGCTGACCTTAAGGTTCGCAGACTGATTCGTAACCACTACGCTACCAGAGCTCCTTGAGGAATAGAAGTAAGAATCTTATTTTTTTTAACCATGTGTCCTTGTGAATGACTTAAATTTGTATCTGGTACATTAGTTATCTATTTAAAAACATTGTTTTTGACAACTTTCTGTCGAGTCAGTCCCCACTCGTGTCTAGCTCATGTGTGACGAGTTGATAGGTTTTTTAAGGCTGTGACCTTTCAGAAGCAGAGGCCACACCTGTCTTTTGCGGCACTTCTGGGTAGGTTCAAACTGTCAACCTTCCCACTAGCAGCTGAGCACTTAACCTTTTGCACTATGTGTATGCTTTTTAAATGATGATAAAACATATGCAGTCACATGAAAAGGCACTCATGTGATAATGTCAGCTGAAGACTCTGGATACAATATACATACATATGTTGTTGTTGTTAAGTGCCGTTGAGTTGGTTCCGACTCATAGCGACCCTGTCTAGGATTTCCAAGTAACGGCTAATGGGTTTGAACTGCCACCTTTGTGGTTAGAGTTCAGTTTGTACCTTACAGCACCACACCAGGGCTCCATATATATGTACACATATATATCAAATGCAACCTAACAATTAGTTTATACTTTTCTCTTTAAAGTATTCTATAGGGTGTTTGAGTCAGAACCGACTTCATGACCCATAACCAACCAACCATAGGGTGTTTCATGGTTTTTGTTTTTTAGAATGAATAGATGTGTGTCTATATAAAAACTTGACTGTTAAATGTCAGTTCTTATTTTTCTACTTTCCACGGTATTTATCAAAAATATCTCTAGAAAGAAAAAAATCCTCAACATCCCACCACTGATGAAATTTCAGCAAACAGCCCCAGACATCTACTTCCGTATGCATATCTCTGAATGAATTTACACACAATCAACCTTGTGAGTCCTGTATGTGGCGCTGTAGGATAAGTCCTCCGGGACTGCTAACTGCAAGGTGTTGTTGTCGTTGTTAAGTACTGTGGAGCTGGTTCCCACTCATAGTGACCCTGCACAGGGTTTCTGAGGCTGCAAATCTTTATGGGAGCAGAAAGCCTCATCTTTCTCCCACAGAACAACTGGTAATTTTGAACTGCTGACCTTGAAGTTAGCAGCCCAAACTACAAGGTAGGTGGTTCAAACCCACCAGCTGCTCCTTGGAAACCCTATATAGGGTCACTATGAGAAGGAACCCACTCAAAGACACTTAACAATAACTTTCACATACACCCCAACCCCAAATCCACAGCCAATCGAGTTGACTCTGACTCATAGCTGCCCTATGGGAGTGAGGAGAACTGCTCTTTAGGGATTCTAAGAAGGTCAGACAGCCTCATCATTCTCTCAGGGAGCAGCTGGTGGGCTTGAACTGCCAACCTTGTGCTTAACAGCCCAACACCCAACCCACAGTACCACCAGGTCTCCTTTCAGATATATAAGCATATATCACTTTGCATGAATGGGAATTACTTTTTGCACTTAATAATAATGTTGTGAGTGTCATTCCTGGTCCATAAATAAACATTGCATTAACCTTCTTGGAGAGAGGCACCAAACACACTTTGTTTAGAGTGACTCCTTATTGGGTTTGGAGTCCTGGTGTGGCACTGTAGGATAACCGCAGGGTTGGTAGTTCAAACCCACCAGCTGCTCCTCGGAAACCCTCCAGAGGGTCGCTTAACAACAATAACACCAATTTGGTTTGCTTCCAAAATTTTTATAATGCTGCATTAAACATTCTTGTAGGTGCCTCCTTAGGAAAGAAAAAGTACTGGTTTTATAATCATATACAGCAGACTTCATTTTTCTCTCTGATGAGAAGGAGCACATTGAAGATCCATTTCATACCACTTGCTAGCTTCTCATACCTCTCGTTTCTAGGCATTAAATGTAGAAAGAATATGCCGAAGCCAGAGCCAGGTGGAGTTTCACGAATCCCTCTGGATCTTCGAACACGATGAAATGCTTTCCCTTGGGATAGAAGAGGTAAGTAACACCACATGGGAACGTTCTGTACTGAGCACCTGCCCCGTGTTAGAAACCGGTTTCGTGCCCAGCATCATTGCCATCATGACCTTCACTAGAAGCAGGTAAAAATGCTTATGTTTTTAGGGTGCTGCGCTCGTTATCTTCCAGGGCGACATTAAGTAAAGTCAGAAATTAATCTGTAAAGGGACTTGACTTTAATCTTTGAAGGACCTTCGCCCTGACAGCGGCTCTCCTATAGAACAGCTTCTCCTGCAGGTGTTTGACATTTTGCCCCTCTACGGAGTGTTGCAGCCACACAGTAGCCACCAGATATCTTTCACCTTCTATGGACACTGTGACATCATTGCACATACGACAGCTCTGTGTGAAGTGGAAGGAGGCCCCACCTATGAAATAACACTGAAAGGAGAAGCATCCTTGGTCAACTATTCCTTTGACACCAAGGAGATCAACTATGGACTACAGGTATTGTACATTCTCAGATGGAAGCGCTTCTTGTTTTACCTGAAACATCCGCCATAGTCCTAGCCTCTCCTCTGGAACCCCTGAAGAAATTGGTCTTGTCTCCCCAATACCCCAGTCTTTGATTCCCTAATCTCCCTCCCATCCTTGATCTCTGCCAACAGCCTTGCATCTTCATTTGCATTTCCCACTGTCTCCTGAAACTGGGCAAGTTTTTGCTAGAATTTGCATCTTCCCTCTCAATCCAGAAGCCCATTCTCACCTTGACATTGCTTTCAACAGTTCCTGGGTTTATAGTCTCCAGGGCATTTTCTATAGCACTCTGTCCTTCCCCTCCCCACATCTTCACAGCACCCAGGGTGAGCTAGCTCATCCACCAGAGTCTCTAAATCCATTTTTTCCTTCCCATCCCCATTCCGAGATCTCACCTAACCAGGCCTAAATGACAATAGCAGTTTTCTTGAACTATAGCATACACACAAATCACCTGAGAACCTTGTTAAAAGATTTTCTGACTCGGAAAATCTGGGATGGGAGCAGGGAACTGAGAGTGTGCGGTTCTAATAAACTCCAAGGTGCCGCCGATGCTGCCGATGCTACAAACCACACTCTGAGGGAGTGGTGCCGTGGGTTAATGAGCTGGAACGCAAAGTTGGTTTGAACCGCAAGGTCGGCGGTTCAAGCTCACCAGCTGCTCCTCAGAAACCCTATACAGGTTTGCTACGGGTTGGAACCAACCCTACAGTACTTGACAACAACAACAACACCTTTTTACCTTCCTTGTACCACTAACCCATATTAAACATCATTGTCAGATCAATATTCCCCAAATTGCATGTTCATCCTATCAACCTCCTGACTAATGAAGCCCAGCAGCATCATAGCTGCATCATATTGAGGAAAGAGTATGGTTTTATCGCCAGAAGAAGTGGGATGCTACCCTGGACTTCCTAGCAATTGGCAGAGTGACCTTGGGCAAATTGTCTGAGCAGATCGTCAGGATCCCTCATGGGAATGGGGTGGCAATGCTCACATCGCCAAGTGGCTGTGCTTACTTAACTAAAGCACCTGATGAGTTCCATGCCTGGGTCAGAGTAGGTCATCAGTCATCCTGAGCTTCCATTTCCATCACCCCTGAGAGCTGCCTTCCCAAGCTTGGTGGAGGGTAGCGAAGCCCCTCAGCTAACTCTGCTCCCTACTGAGTTCCTCACACAGGAAACCTTGGTCCTCACAATTCCCCCAATATAGCCAACTTGATTGTAGCCAAGCTGGTTTAGCCACTGCCCCCAACGTATCCCAGTCTTCCTGCCTCCACACTTTCTCCCATGCTATTCTTCTCATCCTGCAGTGTGGCAGCCCCAAGCCTAGGCACACGGTAAGAAATAGCTCAACCGCATTCCACCCTTATTGGTTTTCTTTCTTTACATTCCTCAGTCTTACAAGATTTCCTTATGTTTGCTTTGCAGAAATTGTAAGTGAACTGTATATTTGTAAATCTTCTCTTTCCATTTAGATTTTGTATTCTTGTAGTTTGGGTGTGGCACTGTATCGCAAGGTTGTCAGTTAAAACTCACCAGCCACTCCTTGGAAAGCCAACAACAGACAACAGGAATAGATCATATCTCCTTTCATACTTTAATAGGGAATGGACCCCCATTGTACAGCTCCTACATTTATGATTACTGGACTGCGTGTGTCTATGTGTGTTGATAGGTTAATGATGACACCCCAGCCCTCATCCACCCCACACCTGTAGAGGTCTTCTCCATTTGTAGACAGAATAGAATTTTCTTTCCCTCCTTATCTCCAGGATTCTCTGGGCAATTGGTATTGGCCCAGCTTGGAGTATCTTCCTTGAAGGTGCTTGTCCTTGCCCTGCTTAACCTAAGAACCCTGGCAGTGGCCTGCTGGCCCCTAATGCTGAATTCTGTTAGGAAAATCCTGCATGTCTAGTTTATTTCCCTCAAGAAATGCCCATTTCTAGATGTTAAAAATCCATTCTAGAACATTCTGGACTTAAAATCTTATCTTTATCTTAAAGAGTGACTCCAGAAAGCGATGATTCTTGTTGTAGAAAGCTTACTTTAAGATTCTCTCATAGCAGTTCGTGGTGAAGAAATTGAAGTTTGTAGAGGTTACGGAATTCCTTTCTAGAAGAACTAGGGCCCGAACCAGGCTTCCAGAGTCTAGCACTTCCTCCGCCCCAACAAGCACCTTTCTGTGACACTGAAATGTGGGCCAGCCAATATCTGTACCACAAGACAGGAAAGCCGGGCTTGTCAGTGTGGGCACAGAGCAGTCACTGCCCTGTTCCCCCTCCTCCTGTCCAGCTGTTTGACCATGTCACAGAGAGCGAAATCACACTGAAGAACACGGGGAAAGTTGGCTTCCACTTCAAGGTCCTCACTGACCACGTGGCGTCGCCAGACAGCCTTCTGCCTGGAGTGCCGCTCATCCTGCCCCTCTCGGTGAGTATCCTGCTGGCCTGCCTCTGATGGTCACCTGGTAATGATGGGTGGGCCCCCAGTTCAGACCTACAAACCACACCCCAGATGTGTTTGGGATTGCAATATTCACTTCCAGGATGATGGTGTGAATTTCTTTTTTTTTTCTAAATTAAAACTAAAGAACACTCAAGAGCAGAAAAATAAGTTGATCCAGGTCACTTCACTTCCTTATGAAACCAAGATTTATGGCGTGCCTACATTAGCCAGGTGACGTCCTGGTGGTACAGTGGGTTAAGTGGTGGCCTGCTAACTGAAAGGATGACAGTTCAAACCCACCAGCCACTCCATGGGAGGAAGATGAGGCATTCTGCACCCATAAAGATTTTTGCCTTGGAAGCCCTGAGGAGAGTCGTGTGGGGTCAGTGTGAGTCAGAGTCAACTCAGCAGCAGTGGGTTACATTAGTCAGGTGGTGTTCCACACACCAGGGCTGAGCAGTGAACCACACAGACATAATCCTATGCACTCATGAAATTTACATTCTTTCCTAGTTGGATTTTTTTTTTTTTTTCAGAAATAAAATAATGGTTTCTTTCCACTGAAGTCTTCACACTTCTCCTGTAATCCCTTGAAGCCAAGGCATCCTTCTACTAGTATGCACCAACTGTTGTTGTTATCAAGTGCCACCAAGTCAGTTCCAACTCATAGCGACTCTGTGTACAAAATAAGCACTGCCCAGTCCTGCGTCATCTTCACAATTGTTATGTCTGTCCATCTTGTTAGGGGATTTCCTCTTTTTCATTCTTCCTCTACTTTACCAAATATGATGTCATTCTCCAGGAACTGGCCCTTCCTGATAATATGTCCAAGTCACAAGAGATGAATCCTCGCCATTCTAAAGAACACTCCAACTGTATTTCTTCCAAAACAGATTTGTTTGTTCTTCTAGCAGTCCATGGTACTTTGAGTCATCTTCACCAACACCATCGATTCTCTTATGGGCTTCCTTGGTCATTGTCCAGCTTTCACATACATATGAGGCTGTTGAAAATACCATTACTTGGAACAGGTGTACCTTAATCCTCAGAATGACATCTTTGATCTTGAGAGCTTTAAAGAGGCCTTGTGCAGCAGATTTACCTAATAATATCCGAATTTTGCTTTTTTATCTGCTGTTTGCTTGAGTGTTGATTGTGGATCCGAACAAAATGAAGTCTTTGACAACTTCAATCTTTTCTCCATTTATCATGATGCTGTTTATTGGTCCAGTTGTGAGGATTTTTGTTTTCTTTACATTGAGGTGCAATCCATACTGAAGGCTGTAGCCTTTGATCTTCATCTGTAAAGAGATTAAGTCCTCTTCCCTTACAGTAAGCAAGGTGGTGCCATCTGTATATCACTGGTTGTTAATAAGGATGGAGCACAGCTTTCAGATCCTTCATTTGCTGTTGGTGCACAACTCAACATGAGAAGAAACAGCTGCAAATAGCCACTATTAATCAGAATGTGGAATACATGAAGCTTTTCATTAGCATTTGTGAAAACACAGGAAGCCCAATTGGTTTTAGAAGTGAATGGAGGACGCGGTTTCTTGTTCAGATTATGCTGATTTATCTGTTTTAAAGAACATTTTGTTGAATTTTCTCATGAAAAGAACACATAATCTTTGTGGGAAGATTGGGAAATTAAAAAACAAAGAATACAATTATAGTTATTTATCATCATACAATCCAACAACAACAACTGTTATCATCTTGGATAATAGAGTCTATTTTCTATAAAATTGTCACATATATTTGAGGTTATTTCTAGTCTTCTTATTCTGTCTCATTGATCAGTTTGTCCCTATAATAATAATATACTGTTTTAATTGCTGTCTCTTTAAAATGCATCTTGATACCCATTTGGTCAACCCCCTTCTTTGGTCTTCTTTGGTCTTCTTTATCCAATGTGTCTTAGCTGTTCTTTTACATTTACTCTTAAGTTTTATTTCTCTAACTCCCTAAGTCAAATGTCTACTTTAAAAAATGTAGGACCATGCATTTGTCTGATTACACCTTTAGGTTCATCCCATAATTTTTAAAGAAAACAAAATATTACAGATGAAAAAGTAGAAGTCAACTTTGCATATTTTAGCGATTTTAATATCTATAGTAATAATTGTTCTCCTTTTCTAAATTGCTTAGACTTGTAGTTTTATTTCTTCTTTGGCACAAGAGTCATTTAAAGGCATGTTCTTTGTTCTTTTTAATTTTCAAATGACTACAATTTTGTCATTGCTGTTGTTATTTATTTAAGGAGTCCTGGTGTGATACTGTGGATTAATGAACTAAACTACAAGGTCAGTTTGAACTGCTAGGTTGGTGGTTCAAACTCAACAGCCTCTCCTCAGAAACCCTATAACAAACAGGGTCTCTGTGAGTTGGATACAGCACTTAATAACAACAACAAAAAGCTTTAAATGTGATGTTGAGTTTTTGTGTTTTTTTTAATGTTTGGATGAGATGCTGTGTCCCCCAAAATTCCTATTTATGAATTTATTAAAATATAAGTTGTAAACCACTTGACGGCACTTAACCACCAACCACCAAAGTGATTTTTTTTAATGTTTTATTGTGAATTATATGATAGTTTACATGGGAGAACATTAGTTTTATATACCAAAGTAATTTTTAAGGAGTCCTGGTGACATAGTGGATTATGCATTGGGCTGCTAACCGTAAGTTCAGCAGTTCAAGTCCACCCGATGCTCTGAAAGAAAAGCATGAGGCTTTCTGCTCCCATAAAGATTTACAGCCTCAGAAACCCTATGTAGGGTCACTATGAGTCACAACCAACTCAAGGACACACAATCATTTTCATAGTGGTTTTTAATATATGTGAGCTTCAAAAAAAGTTTGTGGAAACTTCATTATCTGTTAGCTCCATTTGTTCCACAATTTTTAAAGCCCTTTCATATCAATGAATATTGAACTCTTGGTGGGGTGCTGTAGGGTGTGTGATGCATTGGGAATCACGAGGTCAGCAGTTCAAACTCACCAGCTGCTCCTCAGAAACCCTATAGAGGGTCACTATGAGTTAAAACAACCACCTCCACAACAAAATCATAGTCATTTTTGTCAGTTTGTCATACTGTGATGGCTTGCATGTTGCTGTGATTCTGGAAGATATGCGAACGGGTATTTTAAATCATAGTAGGGTTACCCATAGTAGACAGATTTTCCAAAAGAAGACAGACTAGGAAGAAGAGGAGTCAGACAACTTCCAAATATTTAGTCACTGAGAACCTTATGAATGGCAGTAGAACACTGTCAGATCAAACCAGTATATTGAACATTGAAACATGACAAAGAGCGCCAGGAGATGAGCCCCTCGGATTGGAAGGCACTCAAAATACGACTGGGGAAGAGCTGCCTCCTCAAAGTAGAGTTGACCATGATGACGCGAATGGAAATACAGACCTTCATTTGCTGATGAGGTACAACTGAAAATGAAGAGAAACAGCTGTAAAACATCCATTAATAATCAGAACATGAAATTATGCAGTATGAATCTAGGAAAATTTGGAAGTTGTCAAAAATGAAATAGAATGCATAAAGGTTGGTATCCTAGACACTAGTAAGCTAAAATGGATTAGTATTGTCCATTTTGAATCATATTGTTGACTATACTAGGAATGACGAATTCAAAAAGAATGGCATTGCTTTCATTGTCAAAAGAACATTTCAAGATCTCTCTTGAAGTACAATGCTATCTGTGATGGGATGATAGTCATATGCCTACAAGGGAGACCAGAGGTTCAAGCCAGATTCAGGAGAGGATGTGGAATGAGAGAGGTCATTGCTGCTTTCAGCTAGATCTTAGCTGAAAGCAAAGAATACCAGAAAGATGTTTATCTGTGCTTTATTGATGACATGAAGCCTTTTGAGTTTGTGGATCATGACAAAGTGTGGACAACATTGTGGAGAATGAGTATTCCCAAACACTTAATTGTGTTCTTGAGGAACCTGTACATACACCAAGACAAACAGAACAAGGGAACACTGAATGGTTTAAAATTAGGAAAGGTATGTGCCAGGGCTGTATTCTTTCACCATACTTAATTAACCTGTATGATGAGCAAATAATACAAGAAGCTGGATTATGTGAAGAAAAACATGACATCAGGATTACAGGAAGACTCATTAACAACCTGCGATATGCAGATGATACAACCCTGCTTGCTGAAAGGGAAGAGGACTTCAAATACTTACAGATGAAGATCAAAGACCACAGCCTTTGGTATGGGTTGCATCTCAATGTAAAGAAAACAAAAATCCTCACACTGGACAAATAATAACATCCACATAAATGGAAAAAAGATTGAAGTTGTCAAAGACTTCGTTTTGCTCAGATCAATCAACACTCATAGAAGCAGCAGTCAAGAAATCAAACAACGTATTGCATTAGACAAATCTGCTACAAAAGACTTTTTTTTTTAAAGTGTTGAAGAGCAAAGATGTCAGTTTGAGGACTAAGGTGCACCTGACCCAAACCATGGGATTTTTAATAGCCTCGTATGCATGTAAAAGTTGGAAAGTGAATAAGGGAGATCATAGGAGAATTGATGCATTTGAGTTGTGATACTGAAGGAGAGTATTAAAAGTACGATGGACTGCCAAAAGAACAAACAAATTTGAGTTGGAAGAAGTACAGGCAGAGTGCTCCTTGATCCAGGATTGGCCAGACTTTGTCTCTCATAATTCGGACATATTATCAGGAGGGATCATTCCCTGGCGAAGGATGTCATTTTATTAAAGTGGAGCATCAAAGAAAAAGAGGAAGACCACCAACAAGATGGATTGGCATACTAGCAGCAGCAATAGGGTCAAGCATAGCAATGATTATGAAGTTGGCACAAGACTGGGCAGTGTTTTATTCTGTTGTGCATACGATCGCTATGAGTCAGTATTGACTCAGTGACACCTAAATACAACAAATGAGTCGGAACCAAAACTCTGGCACTTAACAACGGCAACAATATATCAATGAATGTTTGAAAATAATGTTTTCTGGCCGATAGTATATGGGTTATCATGAATCTCTATTCATAAGGCTTTTGTCTTTTTCTGTTTCATTTTTCTAAGGCTAAGCATGATATGGCGTCCTGGTGTGACCCTGTGGGCTAATGTGCTGGACTGCAAGGTCGGTTTGAATCTCAAGGTCAGCAGTTCAAGCTCACCAGCCACTCCTTGGAAATCCTATACGTGGTCACTATGAGTCAGAACCAGCTTGATAGCACTTCACAACAAAAGCATGATTTATAAACGTCTTTGTCCATTTCGCTACCTATTGTTTTTTCCAAGTATATAAAAATCTTTTATACATTTTCATTCCTATACGATTAATACGTTTGTTGTTGTTAAGTGCTGTTGAGTCCATTCTGACTCCTAATGACCCTGTATAGGGTTTCCGATGAGCAGCTGGTAAGTTTGAACTACTGAACTTGTAGGTAGCAATTTCAAGTGCTTATCCTTCAGCACCACACCAGAACTCCTAGGTGCCTTCCTTTGCCCTGGAGTTAAGTCTCTAAACTTATGCACACTGGCTAGGTACCCGCTTTGTTTCTTTCTAACATGGGTGTATTTTTTCTCTCTCAAACTCAACTGTACAGTGAAGAGATTTTGGTTATCTTCATTTTTCTTTACTGCTTGAGTGAGTGTGTGTGTGTGTGTGTGCTTGTAGCCTGGGCGAGAACCACAGCCAGACAGTCCTCAGTGTTGACAAGGAACAGAGTGGGCGAGATGCGTCATCCCTTGGACTCTGTCCTGGTGTTGGTCATTGTGTCTTTCTGACTTCCTACTCCTATGGTTTTGGTATTGTGGCTTCTTAAAACTCATCAGAACACTGAATAGATATTTTATTTCTTTTCTTGATTCTTATAAGAAATAATATTCATAGAATATATTGTTCCTCAGAATCATCCTGTGTCGGTGGACTCTCAAAACCATCCCCCAGATTTGATGATTCGTTAGGAGAATTGGTTCCCAGAACTCAGCAAAGAGACATTACCCATGGTTTGGGGTTAATATTATGGAAGTCCTGGTGTGGTGCTACAGAATCAGTACTGGACTGTTAATCTCAAGGTCAGTGGTTCAGACACACCAGCTGGTCCCTAGAAACCTTATAAAGGGTCACTATGAGTCAGAACCAACTTGATTTACTTAGCAACTTAATAACAATGAGTTATTATAGCAAAAAGGGGCAAAACAAAATCAGCAAAAACCAAGGCTCAGGTGGCAAAATCAGGAAGAAACCAGGCACCCAACCCTTCCCCAAGAACATTGAGTGCTCTCAGGAGGGGTGCATAGAAGAGAGAACAAAGGTGTGAAGCTGAATCTTGGAGACTCTAAAACACTGCACAATTGCAGTGTGATCCCAACTTGTAGCTCCTTTATTCACACACATAACTCTATATCTTGTGAAATGTGACCAGACTCAGTCTGTACGATGAAACAGACAGCATATAAGGCAGACAGAGCAGAGGCAGAAAAAAGCAAGGGAATTAAGCCATGGCTTTTTGTAGGAGTCATAACAGTGACACTTTACTGTCCCAGGCAATGGACTTGGGATTTGAGATATTTATTCATTGTACTAGGGTTAGGAGAGAATATTGAGAGTACCATGGACTGCCAGAAGAATAAACAAATCTGTCTTAGAAGGCTCCTTACAAATGAAGTTAGAAGGCTCCTCAGAAATGAAGATGGCTCGTGGGTTTGAACCACAGACCTTGCGGTTAGCAGTCCAGCACTTGTTTGTCCTACAATACTACACCAGGACTCCAGATTTCCTATTATGAAGCCAGATTCTTACAATGAGACCAGATGTTTACAAAGTCTAGCAGTACTGTTAGCATATGAACATCTGACACGATAGAGAGAGAGACAGGTGGCCCTGTAGGCTCTCATACTTTGGACCTAGTGTCAGGAGGGACATTCTGCTTGGTAAAGTGGAGGGTCAGTGAAACAGAGGAAGCCCTCCAATGAGATGGAATGATATAGTGGCAGCAAGCATGGGCTCAAACATAACCAATTGTGAGGCTGGCACAAGACCAGGCAGTGTTCCAATTTGTTGTGCCTGGGGTCACCGTGAGCCCTGACAATAACAACAACACGTAACTTGAGTTTGTACTGATGTCACTTCCCCCAGGTCACATTCCACCCTGATTTGTCTCTCCTGGTCATTTTGAGCCATGTGATTCTCTCCCCTTTTGTTTCCTGATTACCACTGGAGAGTACACTTTGTATCCTTATTCATATTTCTTAAGTTGTATCATATAATATTTGCATAAACAAACACGTTTCATTTATAAACCACAATAGTAAAATGAGCCACCCATGAGCCTACCAACCATCTTTAAATCTAGAACATTAGTAAGATCCTTGCATCCACCCGTGGGCTCTTTTTCTATCTCAAGTCCCTGCTGCCCACTCTCCAACCAGAAATCATTAGTCTGAATTTAATGTTTATCATTCCATTGCTCTTTAAAATCAACTTTATCACATATGTATGGATTTTGGAGCAAAATAACTTGAGCTTATCAATGAAAACTTTAAAGCACCTACAACGACAAGGCATTTTTCTGGACCCAGAGACTAGGTGATAAATAAAACAGACACATGTGCACAGGTTTGTCTTCTTGAAGGTGTCATTCTGTGAGATTTTACTTTCATCTTCAGCTTTATACAAATGGCCCCATACTAAATGTAATCTTGTACAATTTGCATTTTTTTTTTACCCAGTATTAGATTTCTAAGACTTGTCCGTATTATGGTTCACTCATTTTCATGGCTGAATCAGATTCCATATAGAAAGTAATTTTCCATTTTCCACCAAGGCACATTTCTTTTTTCCCCCAAACTTTTTGCTGTTTTGCAGTAAACCTGCTATAAATATTCTTGTACACATTTCCTGGGTCACAACTAGCAGCATTTCCCTAGGGTGATTTCCAAGGGCGATGTTGCTGGGCTGTGTGCTATGGGTATATTCAGTTTTATCAACAGAGCTAAAGTGTCTTGTACATTGATTATTTCCATTGACATTTCTACCCCCAGATACGTATACAAATTTTCTTTGATGTATTGTTGTTGTCAGGTGCCATCGAGTCAGAACCGACTCATAGCGACCCCATGCACAGCAGAACGAAACAATGTCCAATCCTGGGCCAACCTCACTACC